ATAGATTTTTTATCGATTAATAATTTATACCAAATTTTCTATGCGAAATGATTTTCTTCTAGTGATTGATGTTATTGTCACTTCGATTATCATATGGATTTTTAAAGCAAAACTGCATAGTTACATATAAATATTTAGAAAAACATGATGGTTTACGAACCATTTTTCCAAATTGTCCTTTACATGCACACGCACCTGTATTGTTCAAGAGCCTTCCTACATTATAAAATATATTTATTTGTAATTATCTGTGCTTATTATTACACAGACAACTAATTTTTTTAGTATATCAGATTGATCGCAAAGTTTATTTGTTCTTTTTGTTTATTAGTGCGAAAAAAAAACAGAGGAGAAAAACGAGTAAACTTTTCGATCAATTTGATATAATGCTATCACATACTAATTATAATCACATTTATCTTATTAAAAAACAAATCTTTGTTACAGTTTTTCTCCGGATACAAATGTCGCGGAGACAGCTGCAAAAACTTTGGAATTACCAAAATTGCCAAATCACACGATGGTCGATGACTTATTGTGCCCACCAGGCCGTCAAAACAGACCTCCAAAGATAGCTATAATTCTCAGAGGACCACCTGGCAGTGGCAAATCTTTTGTAACTAAACTTATCAAGGTATATTAATAAATAATTAAATATTCTGATATATAAATTTATTAATTAATGATAGAAAATGAAATAAGATATTTAGTAATTTATTAATATTTATTAAAAAATTATCAAATACTATAGTGTTTGAACTAAATAGATTGTTATTCGTATTTTTTATTTTTTTATATTCTTTATATTAACAGTCTTGTAACGTTTCATTACTCCATTACTGCGTTTTCTACTAAAATTCATATTTCTTATATGTTGTAATTTGTATAATAATAATCTTGCGTTTAACATTTAATTTCTCCGCGATTATTTGGTCTAATAAAATTCATGTTGATCTCGTTTAAATTCAACCGTTCGTTATCGTCTCTATTATCCCCATTTTCTTCAATTATTATAACATTTGTACATTTTACGAATATATAGAAATATAATTTATCTAATTTGATGTAACTTTTTTCCATGCAGGATAAAGAAGTCGAGCAAGGTGGCTCTGCACCCAGAATATTGAGTCTAGACGATTATTTCCTTGTTGAAAAGGAAAAAGAGACTAAAGATGATAATGGAAAAAAAATCACAATTAAGGTACAATCCAATTAAGAAATTTAATTATAAGAAATATTCTAATAAAAAATATTTCAATAATTTTAAAAACAACATTCTAATAAAACATATTCAAATATTTGTCATTTTAAAATTAAGTTATCGATTTGCTTTTTTTTAAAGACATTCTGAAATCTTTTTAGATTGAAAATGCATGTCGAAGTAAATCATAATTATATTTCATACAACTTTTAAGTTCAACAATAATATTTTGTTTTTAGTTTTATCTATACGTATACAAATCTTTTAGATATATTTGCACGTAATCTATACTATTTAAAGATTTTATTCATAAATTTATTATTTGCAACAGGAAATGATATACGAATATGAAGAGGCCATGGAGCAGAGTTATACAACGTCACTCGTTAAAGCTTTTAAGAAAAACATAACAGATGGGTTCTTCAATTTTATTATATTGGATTGCATTAACGAAAAAATTTCGGATTACGAGGAGATGTGGAGTTTCGCCAAGACAAAAGGATTTAAAGTAAGTTATTTAAATTTGATAATATTATTAAACTAGATGATTGAAGATTATCAAGTAAGAAATCTCATTGCAAATTTGATACAAGTAATTTTTGCTAACAACAATGTTATTTGTTGACAGGTATACATATGCGAGATGGAGATGGATCTGCAGATATGCTTGAAAAGAAACATTCACAATCGTACAGAGGAAGAAATTAATCGAATTATTGATTACTTCGAGCCAACGCCTAATTATCATCAAAAACTAGATGTGAACTCAATGTTGCAAGAGCAGGCGATAGAAGAGGTAATTTTGCGATGTAAAATCAAATTGCGAAATACACTTGTTTTCTTAAAACCAATGTTTGCATACAAGTTTGCGACAAGAAAATTTAATCTCTTAACGCACAGATTTTTCTGCAATAAAATGTCAAAAATAAATGTAATTTTTGGGTCTTCATAGCCCTCGCGAGTATGAAGGCCCGAGTTAACCCGGGCTTGTGCGTTAAAAGTTTACTCCACATTAGTATGTAGATATTAATATCTGTAAAGTATATTAATTAAAAATATTTTTATTAAAGGTCGATATGGAAGATAGTCAAGAAATACAGGAGCAACCTATTGCACAAAATGAAGATAGCGAAGACAGCCACACGGATACTCAGGATGCAATTGTAATTAAATTAACTAATACTTTTTTTTTTACTAAAGTGGTAGTTCGTTACTAATAGAAAAATACACAATAGGAAGAAAATATGATAGAATTCTACTTAAGAAATACATGTTATGATTTTTTTACGTATGCATATTATTACTATTTTAGGGTGTTAGCAAATGGGAGAAAATGGAAGCTGAAGATAAGTTAGGTAAGCCAATTTACGCTATTTTGTACGAACAAATTAGTATACGTTTATATTTTGTGCATGTTAATTATTTCCTATAGTATAGTGTGAATTGTCTCTTATTTTCATTTTCGTTGTGATGCAGATCGACTGGATGGTTTAGCGAAAAAGAAAAACGAAGCAAAACCGCAAACTATGGAAGACTTTCTCCAAGTTCCTGATTATTACAATATGGAAGATACTTCTGGCAAAAAACGGGTATGTAAATTCACGCTTCATCTAGATATGGATGATACGGCAGTCAATATTAATAAGTGAAAGGACTCTCACGAAGATTATATATATTATTGCAGGTACGTTGGGCCGATTTGGAAGAACGTAAAGAACAGGAAAAGATGCGTGCTGTCGGATTCGTCGTCGGACACACGAATTGGGATCGAATGATGGATCCTACAAAGGGCGGAAGTGCCTTGACACGCACAAAGTACATATGATTTAAATTCACTACTAAAGCATGTAGACAAAGATAAAATAGTTATCTGCTTTTTCACGTGCTTTTTTTTATAAATTTAATTTTCAGCCAATATGTGTTTGTACAGAGTGGTCCATAATTTGCAAATCAAAATATTATAGTATGAAAGTTTTTAAAGAACGAAATAAAAAAGTTTTTGGGTTTTTCAATCCAAGCAGCAGTTTTTGAAGTGTAAAGGTTCAAAATTGGTAATCAAACTCTTACGGTTAAGCGATCGTTTATCTGTGAATTATTAATACTATATTACGCGTGACTTAGCGAACAAGCGACTGTTTAGCTATACAGTTTGATTGACCAGTTTTAAATCTTTATATTTTAAAAACTTGGATTGAAAAATCATAAAGATTTTATTTCATTTTCTTGGAAATTTTTACGCTATAATTAGTGATAGGATTTCAAAACTCTTATTTGCAATTTTTTTAGCAAAATCAAGAATACTAAAATAAAATTATTTTATTTTTAGTTATTCTTGATTTTCTTTTTTTATAACATATATATAATCAGTGACAGATAGATATTTGAATTTTCTTTTTTGTTTATGTTTTGGATGCAAAATAGTTTTCTAAAAATAAAAATAAAAAATCTTAAAACATCTTGCAAGACTGTTTTAATTGAAAATTTTGAAAAATCTTGAGTCTTGAAAAATTTTGAATGTATATATATACATGTATATGTGTGTATATGTATGTGTGTATGTATATATGGGTTATATTATTGAAAATATTTAACATATTCAAGACTTTCAAGACTTCCAAGATTTTTCAATCATCAACAGTAAAAAATTATTACAAAATGTATATTGAGACTTCTTGATTTTCAATCTTTAATTCAAGATGCTTGAGACGGTCTGAAATCCCATCACTAGCTACATCTTGTTTCGCGAATTACGGAATACTCTGTATAGAGAAGAAAATGTAATATTTATTTTATATTTTTCTTGCGCGTCTAAATATTTCCATAGTCTGATTAATCGTTTGAAAACTTTTTTTTATAACGCATATATAATAATAGTGATAGACAGATATTTGAATTTTCTTTGTTTGTTTCCGATGTATAAAATAATTTTCTAAAAGCTTATTGCGCTGTTTTTTTTTGTTATATTATTATCTAAATTGTAAATTTTTTATTTCTATGAAACAATAATTGTACGTTCTATATGTGTTATATAGATGCAATTTTATTTTAATATTTTACATATATTTCGTTGCTACATGCTATTACAGTTTATTCAATAGATAGAATTGAACAGAAAAAAACGCAGAAAACTTAGATATAGTAGCTAATTATATTAATGTTTGCACTTGACTAGATAGTTAATTAAACTGCTTATTTTGTTGAATTATATGAAACGATAAAATGTAAAAATTATTTACATTAATAATTGTTATTGCAGGTTTTTCTCATTGTCATAAAAACTGATAGTTTTACGCGAGTTTTATTCAAAAAGAAATAAAAGAAATTCAATCAATTGGCTATGTTTTACTCTTTTATTTGTAAAGCACTCTAGCACATTGTATAAGAAAAATTACTCCAAGGAAGCAGACATCGATTTATGACGATCAGTACACAACACAGAATAATAATAAATGAGATATCTTCGATCATAAGGCAAAATTATAAGTTAAAATTATAAATTATAAGAAATTTATAAGTTTTGTATATGATGTGCCTAGATCTACATTATATAAGATTTTGTACAGTAAGGGAATAGGATATACATACAATAGTACATATATTTCAGTTGTAATTACTTTAATTGTAATCGTAAATCGCTTTAATTGTAACTGTTACTATGTTTCTGCTTTGAAAAATATAAAATATAAACTATTGCTAAAGTAACATTTATTATAGTTGATGATTATAGATAATAATATAACTTATTTCAATTAAAAATAATTGTTTGGTTGGATTGAACATATGTGTGTGTGTGTGCCCAGCAGTTGTTTACAGTTGTTAATCGTAACAATTGTTGTATGTTTATAAAGCAAATTTTATTTGCGAATGTAAATCCATCACTGATACGAACTAATATAAAAATGTACAAAAAAAATCATATTTAAAAATTTGCATAAAACACTTTGGAAATTTAGTTCGTATTACCTTTTACCATTCCAATCTGTCTAATCTTGAGAATCTAGCTTCTGAATTCAAATATTTGTATTAGTTTCATTTGGTTTACCTCTTACTCAAAATCCTGGGCAATTTAATCTTCTAATACTGTAATGTAGTATTCTAATACTGTAATGCATATCGGTAAAGTATATGCTTTTCCGAATTCCTTGTAATGTGTTGCACACGATAGACATTTGTTATGTATTTTCCCGAAAAAAAAAACGGGATATTTAAGAGAGAAAAATATTCTAAAGTAACTTCTAATTCTTAACTATTTTATTAAATAATACTGTTAACTGAATAAAATTTATATCTTATAATATCTTTTTACATATATCTATTTTCAAAACAGTTTTTGGTATAAGCATTTTTAAAATGTTCATTTTGTAAATAATAAACAAATAATTACTCACACACATTTGTAAAGCAAATTTTATTTGAGCAGAGGCCCCAGGAATATTATTTAAACTTTTGGAAATGTAAGTAATTCTCGTAGAGCATTATTTTTCAATGAGTTCGAACTTATCTCGATAAAAATTTGATGTTTTACTTTTTGACAATGTAAGAACTTATCATCGATGTATATATAAATATAAACAATCTTATAATATTCGCGTTTAATATGAAAAAATATTTTGCATACGTGACTTAAAATGAAAATTTAACAAATTGCAGTTTCTTAAATTTACAAGTCATTAGATTGGAGATCATCAGAGATTGTTGAATCTTTGCACATTTAAATCAATGTATTTTTAGACCTTCGGATTATTGAACAATTGTACATATAAATTTTTATTTTATTTACACCAGTTGTAAGGTCAACCTAATGTTGAGCTCCAGAATTTATTTCATAAAACATCGCACCTTCCTCGCAACATCTTATAATATTATATTCAATGTTAAAGAACTAATAAACATTCCCGGTAATCGTTAATGTACGAATATTTCTCGATTTTCACATAAATAAAGAGTCGACATTTCTTGATTCTATTCCGCATAATTCTCCAAATTTAACATATTTATGGTCCGTTTTGTATACAATCTACATATATATTATGCGCAACAGATTCATAAGGTGTGTCCGTGTAATTTTGTGAACAAAATCTGAACTCTTCCGTTTTCAACAATTTCATTAAAGTTACGAATATAACAACAATAAGAGATAAATAATAATCATTACAATAAATGTATGTATACACGAACATTAATGACGAAATTAATGATAAGCGCAACGAAATTATCTGGAAAATGATACACATATGCACATGTATATATATATTCATATACGTATATACACAGCGTAATATATATATATACATATGCCATTATATATATACATACACATATAATAGTTATTCCTGGTCCAATGAATATTAAGTATTCGCGTAAATGAATCAGAGCGTGCTTCTTATATATATACGTATTATATATTACACAAAGTCGCAAAATTTCGCATTGCGATTTTATGGCCTTCAACGCAGCTTATTGTCGAAGCTCGGTTCACGATAATAACAGCGCTGCTAAATATTAGCGACTAATGCATTTTGTTTCGTTACGAGAAAAAGACCAATAATTCGATGACGGGCAAACTAAAATTAGCAAGATAGCATATTTGCCGATAAATTTTCAAAGAACAATATTTTAGAAGCATTGTGTAACATACATTATGAATGAATAATTGTTAAAGAAAGATTTTATGCTCATCACTGTAAGACAAGTATAATTTCAACGTGGAAAGAAAGAAATATGTAATCTAATATTGCTAGTGCAAGCGGAAAGTTGTTTCTACCTGAAAAATCAAATAAACATGTAAAATAAAATTTCTTCCATGCAAAGCTTCGTCTCCAAAAAATAGAACCTCGAAATTAAGATATATATAACAATCTAACACATATAAAGATATATATATATTATACTATATTTTAAACTTTCACAGTTATAAAATATTTATTAATATTACAACAATATTCATAAATATTGCTTTTTGTTCGCTTTGTATGTAGAAATTATTTTACACTTTTTGTAGTTAAGAAAATAATCATAAATAATACAAATTCAGAATAAGCAAATTATGCAAATTTACATAATTTGCTTAAAGTTTGAATTTAATTTAAGAATCACCCACCATCGAAATGTCTACGTGTGTGTACGCAAGAGAATAATCATTGCATATTAAATGAGAGAGAATTAGAAAAGAATAACTTCTATGGTAAAAGGACACCAAAGTCTAGATTTCTTTTTCTCATCTCGATCTATCGACAAGCAAGTACTACTACTACTATATAAGCAATCGCGAATATATTTCGATATGCCGAGGTATGTTTAGGAGGACAATACTTTATTAATATAAACATACCTTTTTAATGTTGTCACGTATGTTAACAAGTACAAAGTTATTGAATTATTGCCCGCAATACTTTGTAACCATATTACCGACAATAATTGTCACAATAAGCTACCCGTTTTGAAAGTTACACAGCTTTAATCGTCATCTAACATGATTACCTGTAGACTCACAAAACAGTCGTTTATGAATCTATAAGTAATTAATTATTAATCTATTACTATCGACAATATTTGATAACTATATCGTTGACGTATAATTGCCCTGAAAAATCATCACTATGATCTATGATATCTCCAAAGATATTGTACGTGAGTCGATATTGTTTATGATCAATTGTTGCCGCCAACAGCCGAAAGATGCGCAATGGTTGACAATAATTATCGCAAAGATTATTACTTGGCAGAGCGTACCTCGATGCACAATGTAAAATTTGACCGATTTAAAAAAAAAACAAAAATAGTCTGTGATGATTTTAATACTAAATACTTTTTTGTATGAAAAACACTTATTCTTAGACTACCAAATGTATATCATGTATGGATCCCAAATATGTATGATAGTTCATATAATACAATTTTCTATCGATATTGAATTCCACATATCCATACAAATCTATTATAAATTCGCTATCCAGAATCGCTAATAACTAATTTTTGCATGTTTTACTTGTTAGGCCAAAAATGGCTTGGTAATTTAAAATTAGAAATTTTACAAAACTACTTTTATAACTTATAATTTAATTATTTTTATCACTATTATTACATCCGTAAAATTATTATAATAGAACGAGAACATTGTTTCCCACAATATAAAAAAATTATTTAATTTTACTTTTCTTTCTGTACTAAAGATTTTCTATGTGCAAATATATATACATATATACTTCGCGCGGATATCTTTCAAATTTTCAGATTAGTGCTTAAAAATTAGATTAGCTACCCAAATCAAACAATCTGAAAACGAAAGAAAATGCAGCATATTTCTACGATCAATCAAAATATTTTTGTCCCTAAACATTGGGCAAATTTCACATTGTGCGTTATTTGCATACGGGTATCCTAAAGAGATACAATACATGGATACACATTTATGACGTGTAACACAGTGTGTCTAATACGTATAGAAAGAGAGTCACTAAATGGCAGTAGGGAATAAAACAAACTAATACTGTTTTCTTCCCTCTTCAGGCACCCGCGAAGCCATACACCTCCAACACTCTGATCTCAAAGTCTCCACTGGCGCAGAGGGGTGGGTTGTTGAAGGTCGAGCACCGATCCGTTTTGCCGAATCTTATGTTCTCATCCATCCAAATCGCCTGACCGTCGCTGAAGATAAAAAAATAAAATCAGCGAATCAACGGAAGGATATATTATAGTTACAATTTGTGGGCAAATAATAATTCTAATTAGTGATACTTTATAAATCATATCAGAATTCTCTATTTTATATTTTTTATTTTTTGTGATAGCATTAAAAAAATTGTGATTGCTTCTATTTACGCATAACAAGAGGTGCTATTGATTAATTTATATTGAAGCTTACCCGCCACCGATAGTTATCATTTTCGAGTCTGCGGCCATGAATAGTTCGGCTGAGTGATGTACTTTGGAGTCATTATGCGATGAATCCATGCCTACCCAAGGATACTTGGCTCGTTCGGGATACAAGCTGAACAGGAATGTCTCACCGGTACCGAAGTATGCTTGTCGTTGTCCCTTGTCGTCCTTTACATTACGTTCGTACCATCTTGTAGAACAATAAGCTCCAAATACCTGTAAAAATGATTTAAATAAAATCGTAAAGTGAAACAATTTTTTAAGATCCCACGTAAAGCAACAGTTTGTTAACGCGTTAAGAAAAATAAATAGTCGTATGCTCACCTCATTGTTGCATGTTTTGATCATCAGGAGAGTCGGTTCATGTTGCTCAACTCGCACGTAGAACGTCGTTAAAGAGCATCCATGTTCCTCGGTCGTGTACAGCAAGATGGGCTGATACATTGTAATTCTCATCGGCAGCCACGACCATAAGGTGAATAACTGGCGAATAAACAAATTCAAATAATTAATTTCAAGAAATATAGAAAGTGAAAGATTGTTTTCATAATTGTGCAAACATTAGTTTCCAACAACGGCTCACTAATAATTTAAGAGGAGCAAACTAAATCACGATAAGACATGCGCTTGATTCATAAATTAAATCAAAATGATTATATCAGCTATTTTATGGAAAAATACAGTAACTAATCATATTAGTAAAATTAAAAATTTGTTTTATAAAACTCGCTGTTCGCTCGACGCATACATGAAATAATCGTAGAGAAAAAAAAGAACCAGCTAATATTTTCTTTAACACATTTTCAGAGATTTTTTTGTTCATGTTACGTGAGTCACATCACGCCCCATGTCGAAACTAATAGTTACTGTTTTTTTCCATAATAATAAAATGATAACAAAGCAAAAGAAAATCATATTGTTGGCAGCCATCTAATTTTTATAATCATAAAAAATGAAACTCTAATATAAATTAAAATACATATATAGTTTAATTGCGAAGATAATATATGCTTCTAAAATGCCAACTTTCTGCGCATACATGTTGCAACGAAAATTTAGTTATATCCTTATTAGAATAATTTGGTATTTGTCATCTCGATATTTTTTATCCATAAATTAACGTAGATGATAATTAAACAATAGCAATTTTATGTACCAATATGTGATTATGCATATAGCACATGTATTTACATTAGAATAAATTATGCCAAATTATTCTGAGATGTCATAGACTATTAAATTATTCTCATAATCTCCCACATTTATATATACACATATATCTCTACACAAAAATATGTAAAATCAAATAATAATTAGTATATTTCCTATTTATAATATCGCAAACACTTTCTTGTAAAGAAACATCGACTCTAGCAAAGGAACATATTTCTATCTCGCTTATGTGGGACATCAACTAAACATAAAGATACGACGATGATATGCTGGAAAAAGTAAACATCCGTATTCTTTGCAAATCAGTGCATACTGTCATTCGTCATGCAACAGTCAGAGCAGCATCACTCGGTTAGAGATAAAAATACAAATGAATGTTAACGAGGACGTCAACGTGGATTGTTGCGATAGCGATGATAAATGTGTTCTTTTCTGTACTCTTTTATAATTTTTCTTCTTTTTTCTCTTTCTTCCTCCTATACTTGATTATATAAAGCTGGGACACACAAAAACATTTAAGCAATAAGCAACATATGAATAAAAATTGCTTATATCGTTGAAAAAATCTTTCTTTTTTTCAACACTGTGTGACTGATTGTGAGTTTGTATCGATTGTGCATAATAAAGTCACATGCTGTAAAAGCAAATCCAAAAATTAATTTCTTCTAAGAATCATACAACTTCTTTTCCGTGTTTCTCAATATTTCAACGGTGTTTTCAATCGTACTAGTAATTAACGTGTTTAAATATATATATATATTTTTTTTCCTGGAAATATTTATAGATTAAACAAACATATCCCAAGCAAACATTATACATAAAATTACATAATTAATAGTTGCATCAATTTCCAAATATGCCTCAAATAAATATTCTCTAAAAATAAAAATAAAAAATAATTAGTGTTTCAGCTCAATTGCGACACTCTGTAAAAAGCTTCTGAAAATCAAAAAGTATGGTTTTCAGCTAACGATATAGTAGCCAAGATTCAAAGAAATCTCAGAATAATAGTGAAATATTTTTTTTACAATTACAGAAAAATTTTAATAATAATTTTAAGATAGAAATTTAGTTGAAAAATCTTTCTACATTATGTCACAAGATTTGGGACATCACTGGCCACTTATTCGCTATATTAAAATAATTACAAGGATTATATCTATAATCGCATAAAATATTCTGTATTTACAGATTTCTAGGGAATTGTATGTACACCAAAGGCGACAATATTGACATGCCACAGGAAGCTGATAAAGACCTACAACTAAGTTTTGACGGTATTTTCGGGTCTAACTTGCTCAATGAAAGGATGGCCGTGAATACTTACTTCAGGCATATCTAGGATCTGGGAGCATATACTTTGTATGGGATAAACGCCCATTGATAGGGCACGTGGTCCAGGACTGTGTGCGCCCTATACATATCCGGTACCATTTAATCCATCATTCCAGTGAAGGCAGCACAACACAAGACAGCACAAACACATCAGTTACGTCGATGTACAAGTGCTGAGCGTCATTGGTACCAGTGCAAACGTATTTTGCATGTACCCATATCGCACAAATATCCCATGGAGAATGAATATCTCTTTTCTTTTAATGTAAAGTTATCCGAAAGAAAAGAAAGTAGGGTGTGCAAATACTTCTTTTTTATCTATCACAGTTAATCGCACAAAATCGCATTCTTTGGTTATTTTACAATACAATCCCCCATACTGATCAAAAATAAAAAATAAAAGAATTTTTTTGCACTATACATCGAAATAAATTAGATTCCTTTCATGCTACAACTCGTATTCGATAGAATATATTTACAGAATGTGCCAAAAACTATCTTTTTGTGGATTAAAAAATAGCTGTAAAGTTTGATCGGTTATCATGTAATCCATTCTTCATTCATATGATTCATTTTTGTGTAGCCAATAAAAATTTTCTAAATGCCAAAAAACTCGTAATCGCTTAACAAAGCAGAAAGTTTATCTGAATATCTGTAATTAGGATCCTATACATCTAGTGCACTAGCTTTTAAAAATTAACGACGCTCTCCTGCTTTACAAACTGCCGTATTGTATTTTCTTCTCCTAATCATTCTATTTCACCACTTATTGACTATATTGAGTCGCCAGCTTCGTTTAAAATCATCAATCTCATCTTGTCGCTGATTCATTCTCTTTAATATTTCAAATCACCAATCCAATTACACTGCTCAATGCTGAGCAAAATATATTAACAAACAACAAACAAAGGTTTCGAACATGTATTCTCTCTTGTAAATGTATTATGTATTATCGAATAATAATTATTAATGGTAATTACAAAAAGTTTTGTCTTCCAGTAATTAAATATTCCGTAAAAGAATCTGATTTGTGGATAAAAATATTCAAGCGTTTTCAATTCTGTAAACCTCTTTGACGAGACTTATTCCATATTAAGCACAGATCTGGCTACTATTATTATGCACAAGATGACGATAATGGTCGATGTATTTTTATTTTAAACGTTCAATTATTCAGAATGCATTTTAAAATTTCAAATACTGGAAGATGTTAGAAACATATATCGATTTCCGCTAAAAGATGTTATTCATGCAAAGATAAAGAGATAAAACAATTAAATCAACTTTTTAATAACATTAGCTTTTAGAGAAATTTGAAGAGAAAACTTGAAAGCAATTTTTTCCAAGTAAAAATTATTTAAAAAAATATTATTGGTGCACAATTTTCAACTGCTAATAAATTAAGATATTACTTTTAATGAGTTAAATTTATAAGAAAAGCATCTTCCAAAACTGATATAATACTTGCATTAATACCATAAAATTACATTAAAAGAAAATAGTTAAGATAATGTGAATTTGTAACAGATAACATAGAAAAGAATAGAAACTAATTAAACGCTCGCTAAGCAAAGCTTAATTGAAATCATTTAGTTAAGAATGAAATCCTCTTATACTATTTTAATAAAACTTATTGTTAGTCAGCAATTCTTTTCGATTGCAATATTAAAAACGCATCGATTCGTATATAAAAAACTATAATCTTTAAATTGCAAATCAGAAGTTAGAAGGAACCAATTCGTTTTTCCTTCTTAAAACTTTTCCTCCTTTCCTGCAGCAATATTGGATTACGATATCAGGAAGAAAAAATACATAAATTTTGATATCGCAATCTAATATGATTGCAAAGAGAGGACAAAGAGAGGCAATCTCAAAATTCTGCCAAAAGAAGGAAGAAGAAAGAATAACGTGACGAATGAATAAAAGAAGCTGTGTCTAAAAAAATTCTAGTTCAATTTTTTTATTACAACAGCTCCTATACATTGCTTGCTTTCTCGGGCACTAATTCTGTGCCGCTTTTGAGATCATTTATGATTGCAACTCGCACTGATACGCGAAGAGCCACACCGCAAAGCCAGCGAGAGAGATTCACATTATGCGTGGCGGCAGAACATTGCTGACGATAGAATATTGGTTACTGCCGCGTCGCTAGTGGAAGACGCATTAAAAGAATCACTGCGGATGGATAAATGATAACAGCGACAAAGCTGGCACGACAAATGTATGGCGATAAGTGAGTACGTAGTATGAGTGTAATATAGAAGTTTCAGGGTAAATAAGGGGGCGGATTGGGGGGGAAGGGTGGGCAGAGCACATGAAATTAACAACACATTTCCTAAAAAGATAATTATACGATACCCTGGCTTTGTACGAGTCTTCACACTCTTTCTGAAAACAAATGGAATCATTGAGAGATTCGAACCCTACAAGAGACTACTTTAGCACGCTGGGCTATACAAAGCGGAGATTGAGACCACTATACAGAATATCCAATAAACCGCGATACAAACGACTTAAAAGACCATTCCTCGTGAAAACAAAATTGGTTAAAGTAATACAAACTTCTTTTTGCTGGCGTAATTTTTGAGAAAA